CTCTCCTGAACAATCAATGGATCACAGAGGAAATTAAGGAAGAAATCAGACAATTTTTACAAATAAATGAAAATGCCAATATAACATACAGGAATCTATGGGACACAATGAAAGCAGTTCTACATGGAAAATTCATAGCACTGAATGTCCACACTAGGAAAACAGAGTGAGATAAAATAAGCAACCTAATGATGAATCTTAGACTCCTAGAAAAACAAGAACAAGAAAAATGCAAAACTGGAACAAGAGAGGAAATTATTAAGATAAGACTAGAAATCAATGCAGTGGAAACTACAAAAACAAAACAAAAAATAAATGAATTGAAGAGTTAGTATTTTGAAAGAATAAATAAAATTGATAAACTCTTAGCTAACCTTATCAAAAAAAGGAAAGAAAATGCTCAGATCCATGCGATTAGGAATGAAAAAGGTGAAGTCACAACAGATCCAACAGACATCCAGAGGATAATCAATATCTACTTTGAGAACCAGTACTCTAACAAAATTGAAAACACAGAAGAAATGAACAGATTTCTAGATACTTATGAATTACCAAAGTTGAACAAAGAAGATAAAACATTATAAACACCCTAATTACAATCAATGAAATTGAAAATGTAATTAAAAATCTACCAACAAAGAAAAGCCCAGGTCCTAATGGATTCACAGGTGAATTTTACAAGATATTTAGAGAAGAACTACTTCCTTTATTCTTCAAACTTTTCAATGAAATTGAAAGGGAAGCAATACTTCCAAACTCATTCCTGAAAGCAAGTATCACTTTGATTCCCAAACCAGGGAAAGACGCAACTAAAAAAGAGAACTACAGGCCAATCTGCTTAATGAATATAGATGCAAAAATCCTTAATAATATACTAGCAAACAGAATTCAGAGGACCATCAAGAAGATCATCCATCCTGACCAAGTCGGATTTATTCCATGGATGCAAGAGTGGTTCAACATATGTACATCAATAAATGTAATACACTATATTAACAGAGCGAAGGACAAAAATCACATGATCCTCTTGATAGATGCAGAAAAATCATTTGACAAAATTCAACACCCATTCATGATAAAAAAAAAACCCTGCAAAAAATTGGAATAGATGGTCTGTATCTCAACATAATAAAGGCTATCTATGAAAAACCAACAGCTAAATTCATATTAAATGGCCCAAAACTGAAAACCTTCATTTTAAAATCAGGAACAAGACAAGGATACCCACTATCACCACTCCTCTTTGATATAGTTCCGGAAGTATTAGCCATAGCAATTTGAGAAGAGAAAGAAATTAAAGCAATAAAGATAGGAAAGGAAGAAGATAAATTGTCATTATTTGCTGATGATATGATACTCTACATTGAAGACCAAAAAAATTCTACCAAAAGACTTCTATACTTAAATGACATTTTTAGCAGAGTAGCTGGATACAAGGTCAACAGCCAAAAATCAATAGCCTTCTTGTATGCAAATAACAGAGACATTGAGAGAGAAATTAGAGAAACAGTTCCTTTCACAATAGCATCAAAAAAAAAAAGAAATATCTAGGAATCAATCTAACAAAAGAAGCAAAAGACCTCTACGCAGTAAACTACAGCACTCTGAAAAAAGAGATCAAAGAGGATATAAGAAAATGGAAAAATATCCCCTGCTCCTGGGTAGGAAGAATCAACATAGTAAAAATGGCCATTCTACCAAAACTGCTATACAGATTCAATGCAATGCCAGTTGAAATTCCAACACTATATTTACAGAACTAGAAAAAAGAATCTAAAAATTCATTTGGAATCAGAAGAGAATAGCAAAAGCCATCCTAGGCAGCAGACACATGGCATCGGGTATTAACAATTCCCAATTTTAAATTATCCTATAAAGCCACTGTGATAAAAGCAGCATGGTACTGGTCTCTCTTTGTAGTTCAAGCTGACCTTGAACTCAGTATGTAGCCTAGGCTGGACTTGAACTTGTGGCAATCCTTCTACCCTCCTGCCTTAGCCTCTCATGTGCCCATGTGGCTAGATTATAGGCATGCACCACCACACCAACTTTCTTTTTTTTTTCTTTCCTTTTTTTTAGTATTTTCATCAGAACAAAAAATCATCAGTGTCAATGCTGTGTTTTATGTAAGCCCTATTTAGCACCTGAAATAAGGTAAACTTGCTAATGTGACTAGTAAAATGAAGTATTTAAATCTATCTACACATATGTATAGTAACCATATTATTAGCATTACTAGGCAGTAGTCTTAAATTCTCTTTTAATAAATTGATTTAAAATGAGTCAGTTATACACAAATAGTTTTTTAAATGATTGTGGTTTAATTAAATGGGAAAGCTTATTCTGTATATGTTTTGATGATGTTTGAAAACATGTAATTGTATAACCACAGCCAAAATCAAAACATGACCTATTTTTGTTATTTTAAAAGCTTATCTTATGATATTTCTAGAGTTAATATCTTTCTCTCACCCTCAGCCCATGGATCTATTGATCAGATTTCTCTCTCTAGTTTAATTTTCCATAATTACATAAATGGAATTATATATTATTTTGTATGCTTACAAAGCCATTGTGTATGTTTCTTTCACTCATACACTTTTTTAAAGATTCATTCCTCTTTTGTACAAATACACAGCTCATTTCATTGGGTTAGCCTGTCAAGGATTTTCTAATATTAGCCCAGACAGTGCAATGTTTATGTTCCTATTAAATATTTTATTTATTTTTCAAAATCATATAATGATAATCCTCTGGGATACTTTTGCTTCAACTTTGAGTTAAAGTAGACGAGCATGCTGTCTTTTATTGCCAATAATTAGTACTTTGTAACACTGATTCCCACAGGAGAGTTTGCCTTTGTTTTGATTCAACAGATTCTCTTGACCCAGCAGTAAGTAGAAAATTATACAGTTACAGCACTTATAAGCTTACAGTGGGCTACATGGGATATCTTTCTTGGTAGACTTGTTTATGCTTCCAAAGTAATTTTATGTTTCATTTCTCACTTTTAATTTTATTCTATTTTAATGAATATATCTAATTAGATGTTTTGAAGAACAAAAATATCAACTGTAAGAACAAAATTTTACAAAATTCAACATATTTAGAAGGAAAGACAGGTATCCATTAAAATTATTGACATGTGAGTCCTATGACTTGGAACTGCACATGAACTTAAAGGAATGTGGATATTCTTTACAGATATGTAATATTTGTACAACACCTCTCCTTATAAATATTACTGATAATAAGTCTCCACATTGAGTAACAAAATATAATTATAAAATAATTTTAATTTTCATTACTTATATTAGTATACATGTCTTCTACTTGCACAGGAGGAATGAATGTTAAAACAAATAAGGTAAGTCCACTATATTTTAAATTACTTTCAAACTAAAAAGCAAGGAAAATTGTTAAGTCCAATTCAGGGAAGTTACATTTGAAATTTTCATTTGCATGTTTTATAAATTTTTAAAAATTAATGGTAGATTACTTTTTATAGTTATATAGTAACAGGTAAAACATGTTTTATTCACCCACTGTTACATCTGTTTTATTATCTCTAACCCTCTTAATGAATCAAAGCTTGCTTTTGCTGGAAAGAATTTTGAGTTATTCTTCCCTATAATTTGAGATAACAGAATCCTTGAACGGTCTCTTGAGACTCAAGTTTTTCAGAAATTGTTTGACTAACTCCTAGAAAATGTTTCAAATTAAAGGCGAACAAAAAATCAGTTTCAGAAATAGAAATCTGGAAGTTCTCTTTTATAATAAAAGCTTGTGACTACTTCACAGTTGAATGCTGCAACTCTCCAATTTTCATTAAAAATATTAAAACCAGTCACTAATAAGTATTTTTGGAAAATTACATATGTGAAGTATTACTATTTTTAAAATTAGTTTATGGAAGTAATATATGGAAATGAAAGCAATATTTACTAGACGAATGCAAAAGAATAAAGATAGCACAAGAGCACTTCAGTAACTCACTTTTTAAAGTGTCCATAAATAGTTGATATAGTTAAATACCATGACATATTTAATACATTACAGGGGAATGCTACAAGATGGGATTAAATAAAAATCATTATACATATAAAAACTATGAAATAATATTTTTCTGTGATATTCAACGATTTCGGAAAGAATACAAGGGAAATAAATACTGTAAACAGTGCCCAAATGATGCAGACATGTAAAACAATACATTTTAAAAGATTAAGGAGGGTCAGAGATTTAGCTCAGTGGTTCTGCTGCCTGCCTCACAAGCACAAGGACCTGAGTTCGATCCCCAGTACCAAAAAAAAAAAAAAAAAAAAAAGTAAGGAGAAGATATAATATTTTTACTAAATATATAATTCATTTGATTTTCTCATGCTTTGTTTTGTTTAATATTTACTATATGTTAGTGAATGACTCTTGAATACAAGAAAACAAATCAAGAAAATCGGTAACAATATTGATATATTCTCAGGGCAGAAAAAATTTCAAACCTATTAAAAACAGGATTTTAACTGTTAGAAATATGTACTTTCTGTGTGACTGACAGCATAGGAACTGTAACAGAATTTTAAATTCTGCTTTTGAAATATCACCCTGACCTGATACTCATCTTAAAAGTCAAACCAACTTAGTGAAAGTTATATAAATATGAAAAATGTAGTAGTAAAATGAATTGTAGATAATTAATGTATCATTTACATTATACATGCAGATAAGAGCCCACTTGGAAGTAATAGGTTTAAATGATTAGTAACCCATATATGTATTATTCCAATTCTGGTGGAAATTTTATTACAGATATTAAAGAAAATACACAAAAGTAGAATTGTGAGTTAACATAGTATATGATTATGTCACCTGAAATTTCAGGCTAGACATGTATTTGCACATGGATACATTTTAGGATATATGTACTTTGCTATTATAGTTGTATAAATGCATATATTTTTATTTTTCTTCTCTTATATAGATTTGATTAGGCTCATAAAAGAGAAATGAAGAACCAATCAATAATAGAGTTCATTCTCTTAGGATTGACAGATGACCCATACTTGAAAATTGTGGTTTTTCTATTTCTATTTCTAAACTATACATTGAGCCTGATGGGGAACTTTGTCATTATCCTTCTCACTCTGCTGGATGCCCGCCTCAAGACACCAATGTATTTCTTCCTACGAAATTTCTCCTTTTTGGAAATCACATTCACAACAGTGTGCATTCCCAGGTTCTTGGTAACCATTGTGACTGGAGACAAAACCATTTCTTATGACAGCTGTGCAGCACAGTTGTTCTTTATCCTTTTATTAGGAGTTACAGAGTTTTATCTCCTTGCTGCCATGTCTTATGACCGCTATGTTGCCATCTGCAAACCACTGCACTACCCAATTATTATGAACAGCAAAATGTGCTACCAACTTGTGCTCAGCTCTTGGGCAACTGGATTCTTAATCATCTTTCCCCCTTTGGCCATGGGACTAAAGCTTCATTTCTGTGCTTCCAACATAATTGACCACTTTATGTGTGAAACTTCTCCTATCCTGCAGATCTCTTGCACAGATACCCACATCCTTGAAATGATGTCTTTTGTATTGGCTGTGGTGACACTAGTAATCACATTGATGCTAGTGATTCTCTCTTACAGTTGTATCATTAAAACCATTCTAAAATTTCCTTCTGCACAGCAAAGGACCAAAGCTTTCTCCACCTGTACTTCCCACATGATTGTTGTCTCCATGACATATGGTAGCTGTATCTTTATGTACATAAAACCATCTGCAAAAGAAAGAGTGACTGTCTCAAAAGGTGTAGCATTGCTATATACTTCAATTGCCCCTTTACTAAATCCCTTCATTTATACTCTAAGGAACCAGCAGGTGAAAGAAGCCTTCCATGATGTACTACAGAAGATTTTGTGTTTTCCAGAAAATACAATTTAAGAATATGTTAAAAATCACATTACCATGAAAATTGAAGATACTGTTTCATAAATTCAACTTTATCTACCTCACCAGTTACCACATATAGTAGATTCTCTTGAAGTTCCAGCCTATGTTTTACTGTTATTCATGAAAAATTCCCTTCAACTATGATCTCCTTGTAGCATATTAGGTCACAGAAACTATGACTTTGAATAAAATAAGCTCTGTACAAGTATAGTTTGCTGGATGTAATTTGTTAATTAATTTAACACATATTTATTATTTGTTTATCTTATTCCAGACATTAAGGGAGCCTCAATTTTTACCTTTAAGATGTTTTTACTGCCTAAAAGACATAAAAACATAAGCCAAATATCTATACAGTGTTTGACTAGTGTTACAATAAAAATCTACAAAATATTATGTGTAGATAGGATGGCTTCTGTGGAGTTTCAAAGAGGAGAAATTTTCATAAGAAAGTAGTCACTGTTCTCAAACTAAAAGCATATAAAAGGCCTGCAATGGAATTTCAAAGATTAAAAAAAAAAACCTTTTAAGGGAACGTAATAACTGCTCTCAGACATAAAAATCTGCACAAAGAAAGAAGACTGTGGCATAAATATGTGCAAATAGCACATGGGTTTTACATAACTGTGCATTTGGAAAATGAATATGATTGATGATAGGAAAGGGGCTTCGAAATATTTGAATAAGTTCAGTAAACTCTATCCCACTGTCTTAGCATAATGTACACATTGTGAAAAATTTTCATCCCTCAAATTTTCAATATGTAATGTAGGAATCCCACTGTCTTAGCATAATGTACACATTGTGAAAAATTTTCATCCCTCAAATTTTCAATATGTAGTAGGAGAAATGTAATCCACACCTCTTACTCAGTAAATTGGTGCTATTAGAACAAATATCCACTCATTAAAGAGTTAAATTCTTAAAAAATTCAAGAATGCTTCTGAGAGGAAATGGTCAATATATTCTGTTTTGATATGCACTTCAGGTTCTTTTGAGGCCGTAGACTATAAATAATATTAATACTTCCAACTAGAGAAGTTTCTAAAAGTATATGAAAGATGAACATTTTAGCATTCATTTCTTTCATTTTAGGAAGATTACTTTTGGAAATAACAGTAAACATGCACTGTATTAGAATCAGGGTGACAAATGACAGGATATTGTGTTTGAAATTGTACATAAAATTTGAAGCTTTGTACACAAAGATGACAACAAGTCTGTATTACAGATAATAGAGGCAGAGATAATTAGGAGAAAGGAATTAGAAATTTGAGACTTTTATATTGTGAACATATTGAATGAGCGTAGTTGTATTTAATTCAACATATAGACTCCCTACACACATATATTAAATAATTTTAAAGAAGTTGCATGTAAGTATCTCATAGATCTTTTCAGGCTCAGATAAATTATTGGGTAGTCATCCAAAGAACCAGACTTATCAGTGAAGTAACAATTTTACAAGAACCAAGATGAAGCAAGATACAGATATTTTAGGATGATTTGCTGTTGCTGCAATTCTTTTGGGGTCCATCACTGGCTTGATAGATACTGATGTATATTTAAGTTAGAAATAGTCATTACTTTCAGTTCCTTAAATCAACCTCATTCCACATGGAAGTGTAAAACCATGCTTTTCCCTCAGTCCCTAATGTCCTCTTTACAGGCACTCTCCATTTCTCTCAGCAATTAAAAAGTATCAACCATGATGAACAAATCACAATATTTATAACACCTCATTCAAATAAGTCATAGCTATCAATAAAAAAATAAGAACCAAGGTATATCATTGTAAAGGTACAAATTCCCAATGATGAATCTCATCATATTGTATACTTAAATATATCAATAAAGTTAATAAATTTAAAAAAATCTTCCAGGTAACAACATAACAGAAAACATCTGTGACCTTGGTAGAAGTGTGATCCATAAGATAAAATAATTTAAAAAGTTGAAAT